GTCATAATATATAAAAAATAAATATTTTTACAGTATTTTGTGTTTATTCTTTCTTAGAGATATCCGAAGTAGATGTGCTGTTTGCATTAGATGACGTCGAACAGCTATTACAGCTGCAAGAAGTACTACTTGAATCTGATTCACTCAGCTTAACGTGCAAACTTGCATTAGGAATTTCGAAATTATTCGGAATAGCAAGTTGAACATTTTCGTCATACCACGATGACGAAGTCGTGCTACTATCGCTAAGCTTCGTAATTTTTACTCCAGGCGGAAATTTTGGTTCGACAGAATCATAATTAATCACTTTGGTACCATACATCTTACAAATAATTTTTGATGGTTCCAGTTTCGACTCTTTCAGCTGCATTTCTTTACGTTTTTTTGCATTTTGATTTTTTCCTCTTTTTTCCGGTTTTTCCTTTAGCATGCAACTGGAGGTTATACTTTGCACATTTAGAGTAGAAAATATGAACTTATCATTTTTATTCGGAGATTGTCCGTTTTCTTTTGTAACTATAATTTTATCTTGAAGTGTAGATAACTTATGAGAATTTAGTACAACTTTTGATTTATCGAAATGGTTGTAAATCTCTTTTTCTTTAAAGCAAAAATCCTGTAACTTTGAATAATTATTTTTTATATGAAAGTCTTTGGAAATACAGTTCATATTATTATCAGAATATTCATTGTTATTAGAATAGTTTATAGCAGTAAGTTCGTAGGACGAACGCATAGGAATCTCAGAATTCTCGCAAGTTCCTTTTTTATATATTTTTCTCTTGACTTTTCTTGTTATAATGTGTTTCTTATTGATAATTTTTTTTTTATTCATACAACTGCCACTCTTTTTTTCATCTTCTGACGATAACATCATTATTGAACTGTCTACATCAGACGCGAAATTATTATTGTATGTTTTCTGTAGAAATATATTCTTGTTTTATTTTTTTTATAATAATTGTTCAAATAAATAAAGTTTTAATATTCTTTAATATACGATTCGTCATTTAATACATTTACAAACAAAATTAACCTATATGTTTCTGCATGACAGTTACGTTTAATTGATTTTATTTAAGTAACAAAAATAATTTATTTATAGATAATAATTAATGGATCTTTAATACCGTTTTAAGAAAAAATTTTTTTACCAGTTTTCTATTGTAATGTTGAAGCTGCACATCTTTTGGCACTGGTCTGGACCACGTGCTATGATGTGTTCTTAAATTGAAAAAATATATCTTCCCTGGGAAATGTATGGATTCGCATTCGATCCAATCATAAGTTTCTTGAAAATTACCAAATTCACTATTTTGGCCATTGTTAAAATTCATGTTAGAATCACATATTACAAAACTGAAATATCACAATTAACCTCAATGTCATAGCATTCGAGTTTGTAGTGATGAGCATGTGGCTATAATCATAGGCACAGACGAAATGCATATATGAATAGACCTACATATAATGTACCTTTTTGTCCTACGATTTCGGGATCCTAGGATTCCCTTACCAATTTCGTATCACATCCTGTCGTATCGATTTGAGCAGGTTTTGCACCGCAGCACTCCTAGTAATGAGAACATTGATTAGAATTAATCAATGATGAGAATTGAAATCAAAAAATATAGATAGCGCTATCACATCTGTTTCGAGAGTTGAATTGAACGTGGTGGTACTTCATCATTGAAGAAATCTAGAAACGATATAAAACAGCGATTGATGGAAATTGGGATGAAAAATTTATTATATATTTGATTATTTATTTATATCTATTTAAAAGTATTAGAAAAAATTGATTGAACAACATAATAGATGTAAAAATAAATATTTCTGAACGAAATAAACTCAACACTAAGTGAAGATCAAAGTGAAGATTTTATTCTTTAAAATAAAATCAAATTAATTCTTCTATAATTTTTTTCACAAAATTATAACAGTTTAAAATACTGACAATTTTTTATTTTTTATTCCTAGTTAATATTTCGTGTGAAATGCGCACGTATTAGATTTAAATTAGTTAGATTACAGCGCCAACGGTGAAATACGGAATACATTTCTTACGATTCTCGAATATAATCGATGTTTCTCATGATCGATTTTTAAGCGGAAAGAGTGGTTGAGGAAAGATACACATCTCATCTGTAAGGAAAAAAGTATTGTTCAGAAAAATCATCCAAAAAGAAATGTCATTCAGAAGTTCTCAGATAAAAATTTAAATCAATAGTTGTAGATTTGTGTTTGTTATGAATTTTTAATATAAAATATGCATTTTTGGCTTCAAGGTAAGATTTAACTAAATAATTATTACATATAATTTTCAACAATTAAAAAAATAATAGTATATAAACATTTAAACAGAACATATCATGCTAAAATTATTTATAATATATTATTTTTTTATACGAAAATTTTAATTTTAATCAATGCAAATATTGTGACCTTGTAATATGACAAACTTTTTATTTTATTATATATATAATATACTTTTACTTCTATTATAACATTTTCTACTCATTTATTGATTCTCTAATCTCATATTGCATAATTCTTAATTCCAATACTAAATTCAACAATAATTTAATAAGGATGTATGTATTTAATAACCTAAATAATACTACGTAATATAATAAAATTTCTCATGCAAACTCTCTGAGTTTAAAGTATTGACAATTTTTCATTAAGTATGTGAATATTTTCGTTCTTTTTAAAAAATTTGTTATGATTTTTATGTATTTGATTTAGATCAGAGTTATTTATTCTTTATTCCAAGTTATCATTTCGTGCGAAACGAGCGATTACAACGCCCCCAACGGTGAAATACGTAATATACTTCCTATGATTCTCAAACAAAATCGATATTTCTCATGATCGATTTTTAAACGGAAAACATGGCGGGAAAAAAGCACACTTGTAAAGAAGAAAGTGCTGTCCAGAAAAATCATCCAGAAAGAAGTGTCTTCCAGCAGTTCTCAGGTGAAAATTTAAATCAATAGTTGTTAGATTTATGTTTGTGATATAAATTTTTAATATAAAATGTGCATTTTTGGCTTCAATTCAAGGTCAGATTTAACCAAATAATTATTACATATAATTTTCAATAATTAAAGAAATAATAAGAACATTTAAACAGAACATACTATGCTAAAAGTTATTTATAATTTTGTACTAAAATTTAATTTCAATTTTAGATGTTGTAACCTTGTACTTGACTAACTCATTGTTTTATATATATATATATATATATATA